GGCTAGTGGCCGCTGTGTTAGACAACACAGCTCTAGACATCATTTTCTGTTTTAAGGATCTGAGCAGAGAAGTTAGAAGTCTGAGTGAAGACATTCAAATAGATTATTGCTAAGGACAAGGGAAGGGGCAGAGGTAGTGGGTGTTGTACAGCCAGAAAAACTGGAGGGATATTCATAGAATCAAGACTACTTCACCCTGGAAAGAAAGGCTGGTGACATTATCTTCTGCCATGGGACAGTGGCAGCACCAACAGCAGCAGAGTAGAGTATCAAGGCAGTTTGCATTTCTGCTGGAAGCCAGGAGTGACATAAAAGCCAGTCACAGGCAGTGCTGAGATCTGCGTAGCCCTGGCTGGGGCTGGGGAGCCTGGCCGCCGCGTGAGGGGGTGTGCACATCTTGAATGAAACGATGAGCAGCAGCTCTCTGGAACCTGTCTCCAATAGTGGGGATGTTCGGGTTACCCCATGCTTTTGAAAATCAGAGTGGAGGGTGCAGAGGTCCTGGGGAGGGCTGTCCCTCCCGATGAAAGCCTTTGGGAGTCCACAGTTCTACGTTCCCGACCTATTTTCCTCTTTGTACCCTCAAATTCCGTCTACATGAAGGTTTTTTGAAGCCCATGAACAGTACGGAGGAACAAATCAAACGGCACTCTACTGAGCTCAACTCCAGCACATTTCCAGGGAAGAACAATGTTTAAATGTTGGGTGAGGACCTCGGCCGGGGACATTCTCCTGCTCCTCCCCACCTGCGAGTGTGTTTTCCTTTGACATTTGAGCTATTTCCCCTGTCTCTGATGTTTTCCCCCACTGCCCTTTTTGCCTCCTCACTGAAGCAAAAAGAACAGAGCCTCGGCTAATTACTCCCAGATCAAATAATACTGGTTATTGTAATTGGTCATTGTCCGAAAACACTGAGTTCTTCTTAGCCTGAGGTTGCCTGGCACGGCTTAGTTAGCTAACTATTCCCGGAATGTCTCTATTATCTGTTTTACTCTGCAAAAGAAACCAGGGATTTGTTGAAAGCTGGTAATAAAAGTCTGCCCTGGACCGAGCAGAGCGTACGTGGAGAGGGCCTGGGAAAGCATGACCCCCATGAATCAAGCCCCCCTTCCTCCAATAGCCACTCAATGATGTTATTTGGTTTCTCTGTGTCAGAGAATAATAAACCCACTAGGTTTTCTTGCAGGCCAATGCTGCCTGGTTCTCAGGGCCTGGGGCATGGCTGAGGGACACAAAACAATTTTAATGACCAAACTCACTGAAAGTAAAATAGTTCAGAGAGAAAAACCAACAGACTCACAGGGGCTGCTTCTCCTAAAGGCATCTTCCTGGGGCTTAGAGCCCCTCAGGAGAGGTGCTTAGGGATGGTGACTCCAGGGACTGAAATCCAGCGAAATGTCTCCTTGGCCCTGCCGAAAGGTAACCTCCCGGGGTGGTACTCACCTGTTCCAGACAAGCTGAAGGCTCCGAGGCTTAGGCAGCGGGAACCATTCTAGAAACACAGAGAGAAATATCAAAAAGCAAAATCAACCTGAAAATCCTGTGGCCCAAAATACTGTTACAATTCTAGATGCTCTTTGTGGCTTGGGCTAAAAAAAAAAAGGATTCAGGTATCAGGAAGGCTAAAATAATGATTTTTAAAACCTCGTCTCGGTGAAAGGTCACTATTATGGGTTGAACTGTGTGCTCCCCAAATGAGTATGTTGAAGTCCTAACTTCTCAGAACATGACCTTATACGTGCTGGGCCATGGTGGCTCATGGCTATAATCCCAGTACTTTGGGAGGCTGAGGCAGGAGGATTGCTTGAGTCCGGGAGTTCGAAGCTGTGGTGAGCCATGATTGCGCCTCTGCACTCCAGCCTGGGTGATAGAGTCCCTGTTTTTTGTTTTTGTTTTTAAAAGGAATAGAATAGGACCTTATATGGAAATAGGGTCATTGCAGATGTAATTTGTCAAGATGAAGTTGTTAGGGTGGCACCTAATCCAATTTAACTCGTATCCTCATAAAAACGGGAAATTTGGACACAGAGGTAGCCACATGTCAGGCAATACAACGAAAAGATGCAGGGAGAAGGTGCTGTCCACATGCCAAGGAGAGAGGCCTAGAAGGAACCAACCCTTCCCAGTCTCCAGAGCTGTGGGACAACCCGCTTGTGGTTGAAGCCACCCAGTTTGTGGGATTTTGTTACAGCAGCCCTAGCAGACTTCTTATACAGTCAAACATTCAGCAAAAAGTCAGCAAATATGCATTTACTGTGTGCTCTGTGCAGAGCATGAACTAAGAGCAGGGGAGAATACAAAAGATATGAAAAGAACCTCCCACCTTCACAGAGCTCACAGGTCATTAGGGAGAACAAAGAACATGTGTGAAATGTGACAAATGGTGACGCAAAGTCTGCAAGACCCAGAAGTGGTCGACGGTCGACAGCAAGGGGGCCTAATTTTAGATGTCACTTGTGGCAAAAATGGAAGTAGGTGCTGAGCTGAATCATCCAAAATAGGTGATAACAAAAATCCTAATTCTCTTTGCTGTACTCAGTATCATTTCCACTTGGATACACCTGGTTCTTCTATTGTTCTTGGTATTACCGCTATTTAACCCAAACTAAAACCCCGCCATGACAGGGGACAATTTCCCGTGCATTCAGAAATACGGAGAGAATGCTTATTCTTTTTTTTTTCTGAGTTGGAGTCCCACTCTGTCGCTCAGACTGGAGTGCAGTGGCCACTCCGACGCAGCTGGGCTCTGTCAATCCTTCCGCCTCAGCCTTCTGAGTAGCTGGAACTACAGGCGCGTGCTACCACGCCCAGCTAGTTTTTGATTGATTGTAGAGATAAGGTCTCGCCAAGTTGCCCAGGCGGGTCTTGAACCCGTGGGCGCAGGCAATCCACTCACCTCAGCCTCCCAAAGACGCGGGATTACAGGCTGAGCCACCGAGCTCGTCCGAGAGTGCTTATTCTTTGTGAGGCCATAAGGGGAGTTGTGGAGGATGCACAGTGATGTTCCTCATCAGATTTCCTCTACTGCCCTCTCCAAACTGAGGAAATTATATTTCAACTCCAATCTAAGATGATATTTCTGCCTCATATTTTTCTTAGGCCTGAAAGGTCTTAAAAATCTGGTCTTAAAAATCTCTTCCTTTAGTTCCCATATGAATGGGCTAAACCAGGACTACTTATCACAAAAAAGAATTTCATCATGGTTGAGCAAAAATTAATTTGATATACTGACATATTCATGTGGGTTTGCACATAGAAAGACCTAGAAGACTACTCACCATACAGAGATAGTGGTTGCAGAGGCCTACCTGTTTCACTTCTATGCCTATTTTCTCAAACTTTATTTACTTATTATTTTTGAGTTGAGGTCTCTGTCACTCAGGCTGGAGTGGCACAATCACGACTCACCACAGCCTCCAACTCCTGGGCTCAGGTGATCCTCCCGCCTCAGCCTCCCGAGTAGCTGGGACTACAGGCATGTACCACCACACATGGACAATTTTTGTTTTTATATTTTGTAGAGATGAGGTCTTGCTATGTTGCACAGGCTGGTCTCCAATTCCTGGCCTCAAGTGCTTCACCTGCCTTGGCCTCCCAAAGTGCTGGGATAATAGGTGTAAGCTACCACGCCCAGTCTCAAACATTTTTAAAATAGAGAGCTTATATAGCATTATTTTGTGATTTCAAAAGTTCAATTAAAAATTGGATTTCTTAATTTTTTTTTTTTTTTTTTTTGAGTTGGAGTCTCACTCTGTCGCCCAGACTGGAGTGCAGTGGCATACTCCTGGCCACCGCAGCCTCGACCTGCTGGGCTCCGGTGATCCTTCTGCCTCAGCCTTCCAAGTAGCTGGAACTATAGGTGTAAGCTACCACGCCCGGCTAATTTTTTGATTTATTGTAGAGATGAGGGCTTGCCAAGTTACCCAGGCGGGTCTCGAACCTGCGGGCTCAGGCAATCCACTCACCTCAGCCTCCCAAAGGCGTGGGATTACAGGCTGAGCCACTGAGCCCGGCTAAAAATTGGATTTCTCGTGCTAAGAGTTGTAGAGTAGGAGAAGTTGATCAAGGAACGTGATTTTGGCTGAGTTCTCAAGGTCAGACACAATTAGACATGAACCTCTCCTGGCTAGCGTTTACAGGCCCAGGTGTGCGCTGAGGGAAACCCTTGTTCACACAGGTTATCTACTCTCTGTTTGGTACGATTTTGCCTCATTTCAAAATAACGAGCAAAGCTTAGAAGAGCTGGCATCTGTTAGTAGAGTTTTTTTACCAACTCATTTTCTCTGCCCATTTACAGTTCTAGCCTGACCAAACACAAGACAATAAATATCTGCTCCTCCGGCCACATCCTGACTTCCAATCAACACCATGAAATCCGCCCCTCCCACTCTGTCTTACTTCTGAGCACTCCGTTTGCTGTGTTTTCTGGTCTTTAATGTTTAAATACCACTCCTAGCTCTAGTGCTGCTCTTGTGGAGGATGGGTTGGGGGTTAGCTGAGCTCAGGTTTGAATACCCAACTGCATCTTGGGTTTTGCTGAGACCTTACACAAGCTACGCTGACCACAGCCACCCTTGACTCTTTCACACAGGCTGGTGGGGGAAGTCACCTCAAGGATGCTGAGATCATCCAATGACATGCTGAGTGGAAGTGCCCACTTTGGATCATTAAACCAATACATCTGATTTGCTTTGCCTTCCTTTGAAAAGTGATGGACAGTGTAGACAGTGTGTGGTTAGGCACTTGGAACCCAGACCCAAGTTTTGAATCCATGCTATGCCACTCACAAGGTGTGTGTCCTGAAGGTGTTGCTCACTGGGCCTCAGTTTTCCCATCTGCGGAAGGGAATAATAATAGTTCCTACTGCCTAGGGTTGTGAGAACTAGGATAGTCAGGGTCATATAAATATCCCATCATGCTCTGTCTCTTTTTTCCCCCTGCTTCCCATTCCCCCTCAGGTATTTCCTCCTTATTGTTCTCATTGGAAATTGTCTATGTTTCCTTCTATCGAAATTGTAATTTGCGCCAAGCTCTCATTCTTACAGGAGGGGAATCCCAAAAAACCCTGGAATTTATTTATCAAAAATTGTGTATATATTCTTACATGTTTAAACTTCAGTCACCTTCAAAGTACTCTCCGCATGATGCAATACACCTATTGAGGTGCTTTTCCCACTGTTGAAAACTTTGAACTTGCCAATTTTGATGCCTTTTAATGCTTCTGCTGTTTTGTGTTTCACCTCTTCCACATTGGCCAAATGTTTCCCTCTGAGGACTTTTTTTCATCTGAGGAAACAAAAAAAAGTCGCTTGGGGCGAGATCAGGGAATAGGAAGGGTGGGGCACAGGGGTCACGCCATTTTGGGTCAAAAACTGCTGAACACTCAGGGTGGTGTGGGCAGGTGCAGTCGTAAATCATCCACCATGAAAAAGGTAAACAGTTGAAAGAATCTGCACAAAAAAAATTCACTGAAGCTGAATGCAACCTCTCACAACACTAGCTGAACACTGGTGCCGATGAGTTCCTAGAACCCTCACCTAGTGGGGGAAACCTGTATTACAAGGGGCCAGCCCTCCAAGAGATAATTCCGGTTTTTTTGGTTCCCCCCCCCCCGTAAGTCTGCTTGGTTTCTTTTGAGCACTCAGTGTGGACCAGAGGTTGCTTCTTAGCTGTGTGATATAGTAACACAAACACAGTCCCAGACGCCAGTCTCCTTGTTGCCACTTATGAGAACTGAGATTTTGGGGAAATTGCCTAACCTCTCTGTTTAAATAATTGAGACATTTCCAAATCTGTCAAATGGGAATCATTTCCCAGTTGCTGGGAGGATTAGGTAAGACCAAGCACAGGGCATATATGAGGGGCTCATCAAGTGTTAGTTTTGTTCCTTTTAATTCTTGCTGTTTCGACCACTCATTTTGGAGAGGTAGGATGGTCTCACACAGGTTCTCAAGCAAGGCTGCATATTAGCATCACTCGGGGAGCTTCTAAAAGAAAAGGAGCCCTAGAGTTTGATTCAACGAGTCTGGGGAGGGTCCAGGTATCGTCAGTTGTTGTTCTGTTGTTACGACTTTAATGGTCTCCAGATGTTTCTAGCGAGGAGCGACAGAGGACCTCAGGTCTAGCAAGGAGGGCAGGGCAACTCCTCCCCAGCAACTCCACACACACTTCTCTGAGGCTTGTATCCTATCTGTGAAAACTCAAGTGAGGTTGTTGTAAAAATTTAATTAATCGATGTACAAAAAAGTTGCAGAAATAATATCTGACACATACTTGAAATGTTGTTCAAGGCTGTGAAAGAGGAAGCATGCTGAGGGAAAACTCAGTTCTCATAAATTCTACCAGAAAAGGGATAACCTGTAAGAGTTGTCTCAGGGAGGGATGTGGTTCACGCCTGTAATCCCAGCACTTTGGGAAGCTGAGGCAGGAGGATCACTTGAGTCCAGGAGTTTGAGACAAGCCTAGGTGACATAGTGAGACCCTGTCTCTACA